CGTGGTCGAATCCCACACCACACCCAGATAAGTGGTTCTCTGTACTGGAGAAAGCACACTTTTCTTGGCGTTAAGTCTAAACCCCAGCTTTTACAAGTAAGCGTGAACGACATCTCGATGCCGAACCGCCATCTGCTCAGATGCTAGATAGAGCTAATATCAACCAATCATCGATGTGGTTGAGTATGTGGATGCCCTGGAGTCAGAGCAGTATCCACACACCTCGTAAAAGTGTGGTGTGAGAGTGCAAGGCCGATGGAAGAACCCGGTAAGCTTTTGCCCCCAAAAGCAAACCTCAGGAACTTCCATCCTTCTTTGGGACGATGAAGTACCGGCTGTAGAACCCAAACTGTCTGTTGAGAGAAGGGACCACCTCGATGGCCTCCTTCCTCAAGAGAGTGTTAGCCTGCTCGGGGCCCACTAGAGTGGGAATAACCCCGTTGAAACGAAGCGGAGAAGAACCGAACTGATTCAATAGCCTCTTTCTACAGTGTGCAGGACCCACTGAGACACATTTGGCAGAAGTTTCCACGCTGCCAAAAAAGGTCTACTAAGGGAATCAGTCTCTTGAGACTGAGATAATTAATAAGGAGATCTCTGGTGTGCACCGTAGGTGGCAGGGTTGGCAGATCGATCTCCTGAGAGCACTGAGGAGAGACGGCCACCGTATAATGAGGTGTACACCGCTCTTCCCCAGAGGTGGCCGGCCCTCAGAAGTCCTGGGCCTTAGGCGTCAGGACGTTTTAGATGAAGACTATCCAGTGGGAATGACGGTCCGCAGATCCGCCTTCCGCTAGAAGCCTTCGGCCCGGGAGCGCCACTCTGACTCTAAATTCTGAGGAGTACGAGAAGTGACGCTCCCTATATGAGGAGCTGGAACACAGTTGGTTGGGGCTGCTCCCGCCCAACCTCGGCTTGTCCACCTCAACCTCCTCAGAGGAAGAGAGATAAACACGTGCTCTTACTCGAGAAATTTTTATCCCAAGAGCCCCTGTATATCTAACTTATATCAGATAAATACTTAATTTTATTCCTCAGAATTAAATGCAATCAAACAACCAGACGAGTAAACACGGTCTGGTGTGGTAAGATTCACATCAAAAACTGAAATGATGTAATACACGCGTTGTCTCGGCAGCGCGCGAGCCGCTTGGTCACACAAACAATATCAATCTCCTCCGGAGAAAAATAGCTGCAGCAGCGAGCTCTCACTCAGAGTGGGAAGAAACCGCAGCGCGGGCTTCCGAGCCTCGAGAGAAAGCGCTGGATCTAGGGAGTGCAGGCGGAGAAAGGGCGAGCCGTCTCCAGCCCATCTGCTAGATCCACGTGCGATCCCCGCGATCTGAATCTCCGCCGTGCCTCAGCAATAGCGGGACCGTAATAATATAGACATAATGCTTGTGCGACTGTAAAACAGCTCATCGACGTCCTCCACATCCACCTCCTCGGAGAAAGACAGGCGGAGCGTCGAACCCTCTCTCCGGGGGGAAGAACTGCAGGGCGGGCTTCCGAACCTCGAGAGAGCGCTAGATCTAGGGAACGCGGGTGGAGATAGGGAGAGCCCGTCTCCAACCCATCCGCCAGATCATGTGCGATCCCCGCGATCTCAATCGCCGCCATGTCTCAGCAGCAGCGGGACCGTAACCGCAAGATCACAGGCATGGACACACTCCTCGGAGCGTGCCCGGCGAGAGCGGAGCATTTAACAGCGGGTAAAGCACAATCAGCCCCCTCTCTTTTTCCCGAGAGCTGACTGCGCAAGCTCCGCTCCACAGTACAGCTGCTCATTATAATATTAGGCATAATATGCTTGTGTAACTGATGCTTGTGCAACTGGCGAGCTCATCGACGCCCTCCATATCAACCTCCTCGGAGGAAGACAGGCGGAGCGTCGAGCCCTCTCACCGGGGGGTAAGAACCTTCCGAACCCCGAGAGCGGGCGCTGGATCTGGTAGGTGAGGAAGAAGATAGGGACTCGCCCATCTACATTCCCTCGAGAGCTGACTCTGCGTGCTTCGCTCCCAAGCAGGCAACACACAAACTGTGTGTGTCCCCACCCGAAATATAGCGCGGGCAGGGAGAAACACACAGCCTGAATGCTGTCTGCTCTCGCCCAAATGCTTCTTTTTGCTGAAGCTTGGCGTAATGGAGCTTATAAGTGGACAAACAACACTAAATAAGTCTCACAAACAGATAGCGACTGACACACACGCAAAGCGCTTGCTGAATGACAAAAAGCTGACGCCGGTTCCACCGCACGTGCTTTTATAGCTTCCTGGTCGCAACGTCACCCGCCCATGACGTCTCGCCCATCTATTGGACTGATTTTATATGTGATTCAGAGCATGGTCACACTGGGGGCATTCCCAAAACGTTTCCAATGCAGTTCGAGTTCCTGAAGGGGAACACATGTGATTGTTATGACTTTCTGCAGACAGACGGCAACATTTGTTTGTTTTTATTTTTGGCGTAATGAAACTCAGATCTGTTTAGTTGTTTGTAGTCTGAACAGCAAAAAAAAAAAAAAAAACTCATAAAACCTAATGCAAACCACACATAAAATTGCAAGAAAATGTATTTCTATTGAAACCTTCAGAATGACTAGTCCACTTCAAGTTACTCTTATGACAAAAAAAGTCAAAATCATAAGGTTTGAATCAGTCTGATGAATCCACTGAATGAATAAACTCACTGAATCAGTCAGAGCCATTACTGAATCAACAAGAACTGCAAGTTGTTCATGAAAATCAAATGACTACCCACCTAACAAAAGTATTTTATAAGAACATTTTGCTAATGTTCCAATTAAGTTATGAAAATGTTATTTCCGAATGCTCTCTGATTATTCAAAATGTCAAGATTTTTAAATGTTTTTTTTTTTGTTATGCAAACATTAAAGGAACATTCCATTTTATAATGTTAACATGTTAAGTTTCAAATAAAGCTCTCTGAACGCAATCCTTTAGTGAACTATGTGGCATTTGTGTGCATTGTGAACAAAGCTTCAAAACAAAATCAAATAAAACCTGCACAGAAATAAAAGAGGAGACTCATTTGGTTCCATGACGTCTGCTTTCTTTTCACTCTGAGCCTTTAAATAAAAGTCTTAGCCAGCATGGCTCAAGCAAGGACTCAATTAGACTGATTCTTTCATTGTGCATGTGCTTTAGGGAAGCCGCGTCCCATGTCCATGCCGGTAGACACTTGCCTGGGAGTGTCGGACTCCTCCTCCAGACCCTGGGCTCTTGGAAGGAAAGGTAAGTGCAACACCTGTCTGTGTTTAAACTACCGCTGAAGGGAGTTAATATCCAGCTGTCAGTGTAAACATTTCACAAGCCCAATTACATGGGCAGGAGCAGACAAAGGTCAGATAACACTATGCATTGCATTTTTGTCTGTTTGTCAGTAGCTCAAGGGGTAATCTCTGTATACCCATAGTTCATCAGTAAATATGTGCAATGTTTTTGCAGACTATAAACACATGCAGAGTTGTTTTCTTGTTACTACTGAAGAATGCCTGTTATCATAGCTAGTCAATGGCTAGTTATCATGTTGCATCATTAATTTTTTTTACATTGTTGCTTAGTCCGTAGTCTGGCAGAGGCAGACTTTTGAGCGTAAATTCCACTGTGTAACTTATTGTCACATTGTAACTTAAAGGGATAGTTCACCCAAAAATTCTGTCATTCCAAACCTGTAAGACCTTCATTCATCTTCGGAACACAAATTAAGATATTTTTGATGAAATCCGAGAGCTACATAGACAGCAATGCAACTGATGCATTCAAGGCCCAGAAAGATAAGGACATTGTAAAAAAAAGGCCATGTGACATCAGTGGTTCAACCGTAATGTTATGAAGCTACGAGAATACTTTTTTTGTGCGCAAAGAAAACAAAAATAACGACTTTATTCAACAATTTCTTCTCTTGTCATATTAGCAAAATTCGAACGGAATATCGCAGGCAAAAACTCTATTAAGCGTAGCGATGTATGAAGCGCAGCTCACATAAAAGTTACTTTCAAAACAAGCAGCATTTTGCTGGAAATCTGTCTGGAAAAATCTTCAAATTTCCTTATTGCATGGATTACTATTAAACATGACTGGATTGCCCCCGTGAAAATTCGCCGAACAACTGTAAATGTGTCCGAAACTTAAATGTGAAATCAATGGCACCATATGCACTTATAGACAGTAATGTAAATGTGTGCCAAAGTATGAGCAGGAGTAAAGGAGTAAGTTTTGATGGGCATATCTAGGGGTTTCTTCTGCTAGATTTAATGAAAAATAACAGATGTCTAATGAAGATTACACTTAAAGTGACTTGGATTTTTTATTTTGCTATATTTCATATTATTATGTTTAAAACTTTGAGAATGTAAAAAAGAGTGATAATAATCCTTTTATTATGTATTGTGTGTTCCCCCCCCCCGAAATTGTGACTATCCCACATGTGTGGTGTCATTTCCAATGCACTGAAAATTTTAGCCAAAAAGTTTGATTGTTTTTTTTTAAATAAAAAATGATTTTCAAAAATAAATTTGTGTATCGAGGAAGACAACAGTGTGAGAATAAGCTGTGCTTGAGTTGAAAGAAGAAGAAAACAAGCAATAATCAATGTAAATATAATTTGTGATATGTTTGTGTTCTTTCCAAAAGCTCAAATTATTGTCAAATTATGAAAAAGTGTCAAAGTTGTCCATCACAGAGTTCTGCTGAACTCTATACATTTCAGATGTACTGAAAATTACACTGTGGTGGGAAAAAAAAACATGCCTATGAAAAAAAAGAAAAAAAGACCTGTTATGATGTATGTGCACTGTTGGACATTGTTAGTGGACAAATTAAATTAACTAGTGCAAGAAGTTATTTTTTGTCCACAGGGTTGAAAAATGGCATATGAGCTATGAAAGCAGAATATACAGCTCTCACATTATAAAAATGACTAGTTCCTAACAAACTAACAAAAACCATTAAAGTCAGCCAATCAGAATGAAGCTTGCAATTTTGAAAAGCTTTTGCCATTTTGTCTTTGCCCTCAGAGTCCTTGAACGGTTTGAGAATGCGGTAAATGGTTTTCACTTCTGGTAAATAGCTCTCATGCTTACACGATGTGTCTTGTCTGTTCTCAGGTGATGAGGCCTTGCACAGGTATCTGAGTAACGAACAGATCCCCACCATCTCAGAAGAGTCGCCCTGTTACCCGCTGCCCTACCGCCCCACAGGAGAACGCCAACTCGTCCGAGGGGTCGACCACATCCGCGGCAGCCAGTGTTTTATCAACGCAGACCTACACAACAGCTCCACCATACCCTACCAGGAAGCCGTGGCTCGGAAGCCTGCAGCCAAATCTTCCAAGAGACCCCCCTCAGAACCCTCACTGTTCAGCAGCTGGATCGCCCGACTCAAGCTGCTCACACACTGAATGCGCTGCTGCTGGTTGTCTGCTATCCGTGTGCAGTATTAAAAGTAAAATCCGGAATGTTCCACAGGATCTGAAATGAGGATCTGTTGAGATTCAGTATTAAAGACATCCTCAGTGTAATGCCTGTTACTTTATTTAAGGTTTCATCAGCATTAAGGACACTACTGAAAACTCTTTCTCTGATAAATCAGGTCTTTAAAAGGATTTTTCACTTGGAACTGTGTTATCAATAAGTTATTTAATTTGTGCATATATTGTATATTATAGATACACGTTCAGCATATTTCCCACTTGCTAAATAGATTTTTTTTTTTTTAAACATATGCCTTGTGTCAGTTAAAGCTATGTCATCTCTGAAACGAGAAAAAGAAAAGATAATGTATAGGAATTTTTTTTTTTTTTTTAATCAGAGCATCCCTTTTGAAATAAATGTGCACACTGACGTGTCTATAAGGCAAGGAAGTTCTTGTGAAATTCAAAATGTATGATTCAGGGTTGGGAAATTTTCAGAATTTTAAATTTCTGGCTCCCTTTTAATACATGAGTGTGAATTTGAATCAATTTGGTCACTCCACGCAGGAAGTAGAAATGGATTTGAACTGGAATGACAGGAAGTAGAATTTACTGAAATGCAATCTAATGAAATTTCAATGGTCCAAGACAATTTGACTAATTATGGCTGATTAGTATAATATACTTTATTCTGATTAGACATATTTCTGATTAGACTAAATTCAACACTATCAAATTAACAGCACTATATTGAAATAAAAATTATTTTTAATAAATTAATATTTTATTCAGTAAGAATTCATTTAATTGATCAAAAGTGACAATACAGATTTCTATTTCAAATAAATGCAGTTCGTTTTAAGTTTTTATTCATTAAAGAATCCTAAAAATATTACAATTTTCACAAAAATATTAAGCTACCATTTTCAACTGATAATAATAGTAAATGTTTTGAGCGTCAAATCAGCATATTAGAATGACTTTTAAAAGCATCATGTGACACCAAAGACTGCAGAAAAAGCGGCTGAAAATTCAGTTTTAAATTACATTTTAAATATATTAAAACAGAAAATAGGTATAGATCCTACTATTATTTTTAATCAAATAAATGCAGCCTTGACGAGCATAAGTGACTTCTTTCAAACACATTTAAAACATCTAACTGACCCCGAACTTTTGAATAGTACTGTGTATATACATGTAAGCTATACTTCATTTTTTTTATTTGACATTTTGATGAATTACTACACCTATAGCAGTTACTCTATTCATTCCATTTTAATTCCACTTCCTCAAATTCGTAATCAAATTACAATTCTGCATCCCATTTGCAACCTTAATTCAAATTCAGAAAATGAAATAGAATTTAAAAGGCATTCTAAATTCAACTCTGAATGGCACAGAACCCCGGTGAGTACATTTCGCCATATCATAGTATGAATATAAGTGTCTGCTTTCAAAAGACTTGAATTGTGCTACAGTAGCACAATAATAAAGTCAGAAATCTTTCTTACTTTATTAACTCACATTTCAGTGTGCAAATTACAGACAGTCTTAGATCATATAAATGGTCTTCTGTTGTGAGTGTTATTCATGCTTGAATCATTTCAAATGCAAACAAACTGTTATAAACAAGAACACTCTGGGTCTTAAAACCACCTACTGTAACACTAGAGCAAGTCATTCGTTTTAAGCAAGATAGGATACTGCTTGATACTCGTTTATGTTGTCAGATACTATTAATAAAGAATGCTATAAATGGAAAAATCCTCTCATACCATGAATTCTTGTGCGGGGCAAATGCAGTCAGCTATCTAATGTTTTCTATTATGGTTTTCCTCCAGAGGGCGCTCGCGGCTCAGAAAGCGAACCGTTGAGTCCACAGACCAGGGGTCACCAAACTCGGTCCTGGAGGGCCAGTGTCCTGCAGAGTTTAACTCCAACTTGCCTCAACAGACCTGCCTGGAAGTTTCAAGTATACCTAGTAAGAGCTTGATTAGCTGCTTCAGGTGTGTTTGAATGGGGTTGGAGCTGAACTCTGCAGGACACCGGCCCTCCAGTGTGACTCTAAGGCAGGCCCGTCCACACGGAGAAGCGTTTAGTTGTATACGTAAAGATTTTGTATCGTATCGGCGTTTCGTCCAGACGGATCCCTGTTGAAAAAAAACAGCATATGCTGGTTAGGAATGTTTTGACGCTGGGATGCTGGTTTAAGCTGGTCCTTGCTGGTTTATGCTGGTCCTTTGCTGGTTTAAGCTGGTCCTTTGCTGGTTTATGCTGGTCATGTGCTGG